AAAAAAAAAAAAAAAATCATTCCAAATTTTTCATACATAGAAAAACTTTGGAAGTTGTTCCTTTGACCATAGTCATACACTCGCTTTACAATTGTTATTGAAAAAAGTTTTTCAACAATTTATTTAATGAAATTTTCTAAAGAGCTCTTCATGACTACTTTGTATATGCGTAGGCATGGATTCTATTGTGTTTGCAAGCCATCCTTGTTCTTCAAAGGAGAAGGAAAAAAAACAACTCACTTGCAAAAAAAAAATCCCTTTAATGAGTTCTTTGAAAACACTTTTGAAAAACCCTTAATGATTTATATTTGTCTGATTATTTTGTAAAAATAAAACCAGAAAAATATCAGCTTTACTCATCTCTAAGGAATGCAAATTTGTTTAGACTGATAGATCAAAAAACAAAAAGAACAGATTTCAAGAAACTTCTATCAATGGTGCAACAATGCTATGCCTATTTTAAATTTATTCCTCTACGTTTACTACTGAGATTAGTGCTATGCACACAATGTTAACCACACTTACTGTCTGTACGGACACACTTTCTGTTATTGGCACACAATCGAAAACGTCAAAAATAATGACTAATATGCTGTCCTTCTTGCATGATATATATATATGTTGCTTTCTGTCATGTTAAAATCCATTGCCTGCAATGATCTGACTTGGTAGGCAAATTAGCTGAATTATCTCTTGCATCTCCCTTGCACATTGTCAATAATTCTGTCCTATCCCATGTGAGTACGTTAAGAGCTTATTAAGTTTGCGAAGATGTATACGACACTTAGAAGGACTTAAGGTAGTTCCTCCTTTTTTTTATAATACCATCGAATCAGAATCACTTTGCGAAACAATAAAAGTTATTTGACTCTTTGTCCGCTCCCAATGCCACTGCATGTCCGATAATTCGACCTGCGGTTTATTATTTTTGACACATTTTCAGTAAATTTGATGTTGTTCTGCTGATGATGGTTTGGATTGTTGATATTGTAAGAATTTGTATTTCTCCGTTCGGAAAAATTATTTATTCCTTTTGTCAAAGTATCTAGTGGAACTAAGAAGGAGCAACTTACGCTTGGTCACAGGCTCCTATATGGATCATAATTCCTTCAGGTATTACCTGAAAAATATGGATATCTCCGCTAGCAGTTCATGCATATTCTCTCTCTGCGCTGGCAGTGTGAGTGAGACAGTCCATCACAATTCATGTGAATGTGAGGTTTCCTGCAGAGTCAGATACCAAGTGTTTGGCGAGCACTTTATAACGCCGAACGCGATACGGTGCTCCTAACGAAAGAAGGTGGCGGCATTTATAAGAGGCCTAAAGTCACTTGCAAGTCCAATAGATCTTTTAGACCGCGGCAAGGATTGCCTATGCAATGAATAATAATAATATTTGCCAGAACTTAACTCAGGGGCTTTTCAAGACGTTTTTACCTGCGGTGTTTATATTTCGCTGCATGAGTAAAGAATCCCACTGTCCAATTAAATTTTATAACTCGACTTCGTTTATTTCTAAAGGAAATATTAAAAAAGAGACTTATCTCCTACGAACAGCGTTTACTTCACCTACTTTACGGCTAACTGCCACGATATGTATGTATATCTAAGGAAAATCTGACGGTTATGCTTCTTATAATAACTTGTCTTAGAATTCTACGAAACTACAACTAATCGTATAATCTCATGACTTAAAATAGACAAAAGATCTTATGGAGATGAAGTGATAAGACTTTATTTATCTCTGTCTAAAATCTATCACTGCCAGTCTATTTGAAAGTTCAACTGCAGTAACTAATCGGCTGCCCTAAGGGCAACTCACTTACGGATCGTTACGGTTTGCTCCTATGTTTCGGTAATGGTTTTCAGATGACGGTTTAATTCATAAGGAAGAAGATGTGCATTCTTCTTCTTCCCTATTCCTTTGTTAGAAATCAAAATTGGCATTACCAATCCGTTAATTGATCATATTCGAAATGCAGCTGACACACTTCGAACTTTCCCATATTTCAAGCCGGCCCCGATTGCAAAAAAATAAAATAAACAACTCTACAACTACAATTGTTAACTGGAAATATATTTAAGAAAATTTAACAACACATAAAAGTAACCTAAAGTACACTTAGCGAATAAAATATATATATATATATATATATATGTATATGGATATATATATAGAGAAAGATAAAAGTCCATAAAAACAACTCTAAACAACTCTGTTAAATACATATGATACTCTTAGGCCTAGGTCGCCAAACAAGTCTTGTGATTTTGGTCCTCAGAAAGCTCAAGCCAAACAGCAAGCCCAATTGAAAATGAGTGTCTGAAGTTTGTCTATCCGTCTTGTTTTCTTGCATTCAAGCTATAGACCGTAATATTGAAACATTTTGATGAAAGTTGGTGCCCTAAAGTAGTTTGGCTTAATGACGAACACTTTTAAAAATTATATGGATCGGCTCGTTCTTTTCGACCACTTTCCAATTAGCGACCTATTTAGAAAGTATGCAGCCTGCTCTTGTGCTGTTTAGGCCCCTAGTTTATAGGCATTGTGGGGTTAAGCTATCAAAGCCCGTACCCACGTGAAACCCATGTCACAATCTGTGTGCAGCCTACTATAAGATGCTTAATGGAAAGATGTAATAAAAGGTGTAATTATTTTAAGTCCTTGTGGATGTCACGTACATCCGCACAAACTTAATGTACGCTGAAATGCAAAGTAGTGTAAGGTACAGTTAATAGTCATATATATATATATATATATATATAACATATGCACACATATTTTCGTTATATTGAAGCAATTTAATGTGGATTTATTTATGGACTACAAATGGGAGCAATTTACTTTAAATGACTTTACTTTCAGATGTTGCCTTCTAAAGAATATAACAAAAAGAACAGAAGAAGAGAAAAAGTTTTGACATTAATCGAATTAAATCCTCTTACCTCTCTAACTGTAACTCATAGCCTAACAAACCTAAGTTCAAAAAACAACGCCATCGCTCATGTAACAGCTCGAAGGGAAACACACTAAGCCACATGTTCATGTCACCATAATACAAAACAACTATCAAAGTAATCTAGCAAGAAATTGTAAAAGAAAAGTGTAGCTGAACATGTACACAAATGTAATCATTAAAGTGATACCGGATTGCAGTGAAAGTTAACACTATGATACAACATTACGTAGATAAGCAACAGTGAAAATGTGTCTTAAAAAGTGCATTAGACTTGATATAATCTTTTCATATAAACTTAAGCTTTAGAGTGTTACTATCAGTTTGTATTTAAGCGAAGAGTGACACCACACACATACTTGCGGATGGTGATCACTACACTAAGAGACGAATGAAATTTTTGCAAAAGAAACCATTAATACCAGCAAATAGTTTTAGATCCACAGTTCACAACGAATTGACTCCCATTCATTTCATATCCTAAAAAAAAAAAATAAAAAGAATTTTCCAGATAATCGCATTGCAAAGCCTGCAGTTTCTTAAGTGACCTGCCAACAGATATTCGTTGTCAATAAAAGTCCTTTGCACTTTTTCCAAAGCTTAACTTTTCTTACAAAAGCACCAACACGCGTTCAGAAATATCAGCGAATATCGTACAATACATTACAATACTGACAAAGTACCAGAGTTGTTGGCCAATTTTTGCGTACATAGCTTACATGAGTAAAAAAACATCCGATTTCATATATGACATAATATTGAAAAATTCTTGTTACTTTTTGATCCTATCATGTAGCCTTGCGCGCTGAAATTATTTGCTTTTCTTATTCATTTTCTCTTACAATCTTTTTATACGCAGCACCGAAGGATAAGATAATCGTTTTGTCAAAATGTTTGCAAAGCGCAGAAGAATGCTTCAGAGATCCCTCGAAATATATACATCCTTCATTAGCATCAAGTTCTGAAACGATTGAAGCATGTTCGGTTGTCCCTCTGTGTAGTATGTCTTGTAAACATATTCCAGATAGCAAAAGCAATCGGTTTCAAATTTGGTTTGGATCTGTTGAAGGTTTTTGTAGGCAGCTTGGTCTTAAAAAAGGGATTAAATCGGTCCAAGGACATACCCACAAACTGAGAATAGTTTTGTTTTGCAAAAGAAATAAAAAAATAAATTTCTCGGTCATTACTTACCAGCTACATCAGATAAGCTTACAAACATTTAACATTTGTTCTACTGACGATGCCTTAATAAGTGCACAAGAATGGAAAAAATTGACACCGTCTGCTCAGTATTATGGTATATCAAAATTATTTTTTTTTTGTCAAGACCCTTATAAGCGCTGAAGCGACCTGCAAAAATCCCATTCTTGGCGAATTTCAAATTTAGAATGCACCTAGGCATGTCCGCCTGTCCGTCTGGCCAACTGTGTAGTATCTGCGGTGCACATTCTTCCCTTCGCAAGAATGAAAAGATCGTCTACAAATCTGCAAAACAATTTGAGAATGACACAGACAGATTGGAGAGCGTATCTACAACGCGCGCAAACTTATGAAACAAAAAACTGAGAACAAATTTGCTTTCCGTTGATCATTTATAACCTACCGTAGAGAGACAATATAAATTTCAACTTTCATTCTAAAAAATAGAAAATCTCAGCCGTGCCTACCCAATATTATGAAGTATAGAAATTTCGTTTTTCACTTTGTTTTTTACTATATTTTAAGATAACAATGATGAATATAGAAGATTGGCTCATAAGTGAGTGCACTTTTATTAATTGTTCGTTTTGCTTTTACTACTGAAGGAATGAATACGAGAGTTGAGATGAATTACATTTTGGTCTCTCGAACTTAGCCTTGTCGATACCATCTTCTACTACGGTGGAGAACGGAGCAAACATTGAAAATACATTGCAAATTTTAATTCGGAACTCTTTTATTAAATAAAAATGAACAGATTGAAAATGAAAATATATATGAAGATATATATGTGTTGAAAGAATTTTTAATTAAACGAGAAGAATAAAAAAAAAAAAATCTTCTCTATTTGTTGATTTTGTCAGCCATATTGACTATTTTGTCGAGATTGCCACGTAATATACGTAATTCGCTCAAAGTTCGTGGGTCCATATCTTCCAAAATATCTGCTTGGAATGAATCAACTTTTTTCGGACGCAACGACATCACGCCATCGCGCAAAGGTATATTGACATTTGCAAATCTATCGGGCAATACCTGAGCTATTACCGGGCTGCCATATTTCGACAGAACCATTTCTCCTGGCTTTGGCCAGCGCATAAAGGCAACTGGTGGCGTTTCTGGCCGTCCGTCGAAATATTGTTTACGTTCAACACTATGAGGTCTCGTTCGATTAACAGTTAATATTTTATTCCTTGCTTGATGCTCCCTAGCAACTAAAGACGAGTATTTACCACAAGCTGAACGGCTTCGTCTCGGTCCTCTGGCGAGAGCTGAATTTAATGGTCCGGGTGTACGACAAGGATCTTTTGGCAGTTGTTGTTGCGCACGACTCAAACGTGAGTTATTTATAAAATTCGTGCCCGATTTTACCGAGACTATACTACCAAAGCTATTTAGCTTAGAAGTATCCTCTGTAAGATACCCCTCATCCTTATTTTCAGTGAATTTATTACTATACTTTAAATTATAGTTGAATGATTCGCTGACAGAACTGTGCTCCAAAATGCTAGAGTTCATTGTCAAAAATTGGTCCATTCTCATTTTCAAAAGATTGGTGCTTGTTCGTTGTCGCAACAAACGCAGCTCCTCATCCCATTCTTGAATGAAGGTTTCCACTTCACTTTCCATAGTAGCAAGATAGCCGTTAAAAGCACTTTTGAATTCGCGTAACTTTTCTTCCCGATGTTCCGATGCACGATTACGTTTCGTAGTTTGGTTCACTTTAGTCCGTGGCATATTGTTCTATGTTAGTTAAGCAAGTCACAACTCGTTTCCTTTTTTGATTCCTTAATTACTTTTGGTCGTAATAATTGCTAATGAGTTCTTCACAGAGTTAAACGAATTTATTTATGAAATTATTTGAAAAAAATTGACTTCACCGATAGCATAGAAAGAAGTGTTTTCTTTGGTTTCACAATTAAACTAATTTATGTGAATTGAATACCTTTGCTTATAAAGTGTTCAAACAGGTAACGAATATCCCGTTTCGTCAAATTTTATGTGTTACATATACAAATATATTTGATTTCCGCTCATATATATCATCAAAAATTTATGTTAATCGCTAGCTGCATACGGGGTTTTTATTTTATAGCCTTATCAGGCACAGTAATGTAAATTATTATCTACTGTGTAGGTTTGGAAAATTTTGGAAATTCCATCTTGAACAAAGTTCGACGTCTTTTATATTTATTCGTTTTATTAAACAGGTAAGCAGGTAAAATTTGTAACAGAATCGTAATAAAACGTAAGAAACTTTTGATTTCTGTATCCATCGCCGAAGGATGAGGGGTATATTCAGTTTGTCAAAACGTTTGCCACACACAGAAGTAAATTTCAAAGGCCGCACAAATACTATATATATATATATATATAATATATATATATACTTTTGATTGACATGAAATTATGAATCGATTTAAGCATGTCCGTCAGTCCGTAAAATATTTATATTCTTAATCACTATCAAAATCTAAGCCAATTTAAGCTTGTCCGTCCGGCTGCCTGTCTGTCTAATGAATATGGTTAATTTTCTCCTCGTCCCAAAAAATCGGCCTCAAATTTGGCATAGAAATTGAAAGATCTTACACGTAGGTTATTATTGAAATTGGGCCAAATCGGTCAAAGGATACGCTTACTGAGCTTACGTCCTGGACTGACATCACTGACTATCTCTGTTCTCAAAAACAGAAGGAAGATTAGTTTTTTGTCCGTTACTTACAAACTACCAAAGATACAACGACAAAAATTCCTTTACATTCTATATCTGATCCTGCTTATACAAATATGGCAAATATCGACCGCGCCTACTCGATATTGCAGACTGTTGAAATTTTATTATTTTTTTTTTAGAAGAAAGAATCTTCATATTAGATATTTTTGATTGAAGATCAAATCTGAATCGTTCTAGGCGTTGTTGTCAGTCGGCCCTTCCATGTGTTTGTTAATTGCTGTGGTAAGCGTACTCTAAAAATATTTGCTTCAAGTTCGGCAAAAATACTCGAAATCGTTGCACACTCGTTAATATTGAAGATGGAGCAAATAGACAAAATAACACGCCCATAATATATTATAAAGAGCAGAACATCTCGGTTTTCTGAGTTTTTTGTCCCTTACTCATACTACAATAGCCTCACCCAGTATAAAAATTTGATTTTTATACCCGTCACCGAAATATGAGCCGAATATTCATTTTGTCAAAATGTTTGCAACGCCCAGAAGTAAGTATCGGAGACCAGACAAAATATACATATTCTTGATCGGCATCAAATTGTAAATCAATTCAAGCATGTCCATCTGTACGCGTGCGTAGCGTCGGTTGTAAACATTCTCCTGGTCGCAAAAACGAAGCTATCCACTTGAAATACGGTAGAAACATTTGAAGTGCTTCCGCGCAATTTCGTATTGAAAATGGGCGAATCGTTTGAAAGTCATGCCTACAATATCAGATTCATTGACTACACCTCTGGTTTTGAACTGAATAAAAGATGGGTTTTTCGTTTATTGACTATGAACTACAGCAGATAAATTTAGAAAAATTTTGAATTCTATGGGTACTTCCGTACGATCTGTGCAGAAATGAAAAAACTCGGTCACGGCTATCAAGTTTTATACTGCGTAATTTTAATTATTTTTTCAATATCTTAATAACGCGGGGAGACAAGCTTCAAAAACCCTATAAAGTGTACAAATTTTTGGCAAGTTTCAAAGCATGCCTATATGTTCGCCTGATCAACATTGTAATATCCGTGGTGAACATGCTCCCGTTAACAAAATGCCTAAAAATTTTCAAAAGAATTTACAAATGACTATTCAAAGGACACGAGTATAACGCTCACATGCCTTTGCGACAAAAACTTTTATGTGAAAATACAAATAAATCATTCTCGCTCACTCCCTGTTATAGATCATGAAAATTTAGTTCTTTTACTGCTTTTGTTTTTTTAGGGATAACGGTGATGGGTATAAAAGATTGAATCGCCGCCGCATATAATTTTCTTATTTGTTCAAGTTCGCAATTAGAATGCAGGATGTTAAAGAGAGCTAATTTTTGGTAAGTAATGCGCATCAAATACAAAAATGAGGTGACATACAAATTTCTATGGCAAGAAAAATGCTCCTTATTATCACTATAATGTTCTATTGATTTTGTTTCGTTCGTCTTAATAAAAATATAGGAATAAATATAAAAACAAGTGAGACGAGTAGGTAAATTCCCGAATCTTTTACACCCATCAACATTACAATTTTCATGCTCAATAACATGAACTAGGCGAAGTGAATGTTTTTTATTTTCAATATAAATGTTTTTGTCCCATAGGGCTGTGAGTGTTGTAGGTGTGCCCTTTGAAAAGTGCAAACTCTCTGCAAGTTTGCAGACGATACCTTCATATTTACTTACGAGAAAATATGTACCACATTTAGGCAGGCGGACATATGGACATGTATAGATGCATTCCAAATTTGAAACTGGCCAAACATTTATCTACTTTATGGAGTTGCTGGAGCTTCTTCCTACAAGGAAAAAATTTAAATTTTGATATACTATTATATTGAGCAAGTTTGGTCAATATTTTCCATTTCTCTGCAGATACTACAGTACCGCCCATAGAATATACGTTCAAATTTTTGTACAATTATTTGTGAAAATTTATGAGCAATGAGCAAAAAACCAATTTATTATTTCTTTTGAGAAGCTGAGATGTTCTGTGTTTTCGTGGTGCTGTGAGCATGCCTTGAGACTGGTTTGGCTCCATTGTGGATGCCACCCTGCGTGCAGGAACTTCCAAGCTTTGAAATCGAAAGCTTCATTTTTGCGGCCAGGAGAATCTTTACATACGCACACTACGCAGACGGACCGACGGACAAGCTTAAATCAATTCAGAATTCGATATTGGTCGATAATACATTTGTTTATGCAGGATCTCTGAAGCCTATTTGTGAACGTTGCAAACGTTTTGACAAATTTAATATACCCTTTATAAGTACAGAAATGTTTGATCTATTCATCAACGGAGGACCATACAACCACTTCGATGTTGGCCTTCAATGCAGAGTTGCAATCTATTCACTTCTTGTCCTTCATGATTTTATAAATGGTTACCATTACTACCTAAAAAAAAATGTTTACATCTTTCTGTCTCAGTTCGTAGATTACTCTACAGAACTTCCTCGCATAGCTTATGAAAAAACTCATCGAAAAATTAATACACCTACGCCTGTAAAAAAAATTTAATTCATCTCTTCTTTTAAATGTTAAGCTAAAAATTTCTACATTTAGTAAAAGCTTTCAGTTAATGTTGGTATTAATTAACGGCGAATAAAGCAAAGAATGCTATCGTGACTACCCTTTTCAACAATAAATTGCATCAAAACATTAATTATGAAACGCTGAACGCCTTCATGTAGGAAAAAAAAGTTAAAAAGCAACAATAAAAACAATTAAAAAAAAAGGGAGTAAAAGAAGATAAATTTTGTTTTGACTGACATTCGTATGCTGCGCATAGTACAAAGGATAATGAAGATATAATAGGGAAGGAAATGGAAAACTTTTAAATAAAATGAAAGTACAAAAAAATGTACATAAAAAATGAATTATGTAAATATTACGAGTTATGTGTAAAAATTTTCATAATTAAAAGAACGAACTTACCTGAAAGCAACATAAGCAAAACAAAATAAAAAAACAATTTATTAAGCCTTTCATTTAGCAAAATGAGCAAAGCAACATTTAATGTAGTGAAAGAAATTTACTCATCATGCGAACAGTTTGGCCCGACGTTATTTTAGCCAATAAGTTGTAACAGTTGCTTTTATGATATTTATTTTCCTATCTATTTCAATTTTCCTGTACCGACTATAGCCGTAGATGGTAGATGGGCGATAGATAGATAGGTAGAACTAAACACATCCAGACAGTCACGCTTACGAAAGTCAAGCAACGAAGAACAGTTCTTGTGTGCCCTCATTCTTAGCCCATACCATTCTTAATTTAATACATAAAAATATTATTGATAAGAATTAATGAACAAGAATGGATAAAAAACATGTATTTATTTACAAAGTCGTATTTGCACGGATAAGTGATCGATGTTCAAAAATTTATTTTTCTTTGATTGCTGAGCTAAGAAAATTGTTGCCTTCGGCGCAACTAGAGAGAGCAAATGCAACTTTTTTTCACTTGACATTGGTCTGATGATCTTAAGATTTATTGCACTCTTGTGGTACAGAGTACATTAAGTTTGTCTGGACGTGTGTAACGCCCTGAATAGCTTAAGATAGACCTAACTTGTACTAAACCGGTCGATTCAAGCAACTCCGTATAAGGATCGAAAGTCTAGTTTCTTATGACAAAGAAATGAAAAATAATAAAATTTGTAGGAAGTAAATTAAGTTTACCAGATTTGGATCACGTCAGGTGATGACTGGAGCATCTCCGAATAGTCGAACTTTCATGAAAAGTATACCTTTCTGTAATTTTTGATTTACTGTAACCAAAAGCTGCGTAAGCCTTTTAGGTTTTTAGATCGAGTGTGGTTTTGATCTGTTTTCTTTTTCTTACATGGTATGTCGGTAGTGTCAAATTAATTGTAACTTGTCCATGATCGCGTGCACAGTATTTTACTATATACGAGCAGATATATTCTTCTTAACATGCTAGTTATTAGTAAGCGCCGCTATTTGTAAAGCGGTTGCAATTTTTGTTACACGTACGGTTGGCATAAGGACTGCAAGGA